AGAGAGAGAGAGGGAGAGAGAGAGAGAGAGAGAGGACCAGTGTTTTACTCTAAACTTTAGAGTCTAAAGTATAAAGTGTTTAAAAAGTTAATTTTTAAGAGACTCTCATATACTGTGTGTTTGTCTCAAAGCTTGTGATCAATGCCTCGATTTGTGTTTCCATTCGTTATAATATATGACAACTTATTTAAAATGACTTTAACTCAAAACTTCGTTACATAAATTAAATTGTTAATTAATTTTGTAAAATTGAATTTTTATAACAAATCTCAAAATTATTTGTTTGAATCTATGGCTTGTAACAAAAATATTTATTAATATTAATCATAATAAAAATATTTTTAAATTATAAATTACAAGTTATCATAAAATCAAATGTTTTATAAAAATTCTTTATAAATAACAATGAATTAAAAATCCTTTTATCTTCTTGGAAAATATAAAAGTAACAATTTCAAATAATTGCTATTATCAATATATTACAAAAAGTAAAACATTAATTAATAAAATTAATAAATATTTAAAAATGTAATTTAAATTTAATATATATTAAATTTATTATATATTAACCAAACAAAGATAAATAATTTTTTTAAAGAACATTTATTATAATTTTATAATAAATGTCACCAATATAATGCATTAATATTTGACAAATATGCAAAATAAATATAAAGTAAATCCAAAGTAATTAAAATATTTAAATAAAATTTATTGTGCCTTTGAATAAAACCTGTTGTCATTGTTTACACGGAATTCAATATTCTTGAGTTTAGGACTCGAAGACAACACAGCATTCAAATCATTACAATTGAAATTATAGCCATCGGTCGGGAACTCAACGAACAGTGTTTTCAGCGCCGGTAGTCTTGAGATATCTTTCAAATATTCGCATTTCATTGCATTAACTTTAATGCATAGGTATTGAAGTCGCGGCCAATGTTTACCACAATTATCCAGCAATTTGTCACTCATTTCTACAATTTTAAGTGTTAAATGTGTTAACCGGTGACAGAGTCTCAACGCTTCCAACATTCTCGTATCCAAGACATCATTTAGTGTTAAATCCAAACGTTTTAATCTGTGATAACAACTCAATGAATCCAATGAATTGCCATTGAGTTTATGATACGATTGCATTGTAAGTGACAATCGTTGCAATTGTTTGCAGTTTAAGCCAATTGTGCGCAAAGACTCAGACAATGTGTTCTCGCCATTCAATAAACCTAAATTGAGTGTTAATTCTCGTAATTGTGTTAATCGTGAAAATGGTTGACCAAATGCAACTAATGTACCAACAATTGGATGTTGATAGGAGTAGTAGACAACACATCTGAGGGACTGATTCTGTGGGGTAAATGCGGCCAACAATCGCTTATTTTCGGACGAATAGTCGTTTAACTCAATTGTATGCAAATTCTTCACTAATAATTGTTGTTTGGAGTGAATGAGTGACCAGTAAAAAGTGTGTGAATTGCGGACTACTTTAGTACCATAAGTAATTGTTGTGACCAGTGATTCAAATGTATGCACACATCCGCAATTGATTTGCCATAAAGTGGCGTATATTTCACGCAAATGCCGGCAATTGTTGCGAAATGTGATCAACATTTCCGGAATGTATTCATGATTTTTATGACTTATTCCTCGGCAGTCAATGGACCCAATGTTTGCAATCTTTCTGGCAATTGTGGCCAACAATTGGGTGTCAATTAATGTTCCCGACATTAGATTCATAATAAAGCCATCGCTAAGAGTGATGTCGACAACACTTTCGAAGACTGTTCTCTGGAACTGTTTGGACACACATTCGTAACGGAATCGGTCTTTGAATGAGAGATAAGACAATAGAAGTTGACACAAATCATCACCGAATCTGTCCATTGAGTCCTTCGCATACATTTGTATCTAAAAGTGTTAAATAAAAATATCGGTAATAAACAAACAAATTGTTTGTGAAATACCTGTTGTCTGTTGTCTTCATTGCCGTCATCTGTGGTCTCGAGTGATGCCATCATTCGTGTCAACTATTGTGTAATATCTTGGGATCAAATGAAGTGTTTGTTTGAATGAATAGTATTTTTGTGCCCAAAATGTGATAATATTTAAATTCAATCGTCTCGGTTGCTATGGTTTTTGTAAGAATATTTTGAAGCATAATACAGTGCAACCTCTCTTGGGGAAACTTCTCTTGGGGAAACACATCTTCATAAGAAACGGTTTTAAAATCTCTTTTAGATTTCCTATACTTATAATGTTAAAATGACCTCTCTTAGGAAAACTTCTCTTGGGGAAACACCTCCCCATAAGAAACGGATTTATAGAGATTAAGTTAAAACTTGCACTCCCGATAAGAAACAAATATAATCATAAACACATGATATGTAAAGTATTCAAAATATTTTCAAACCTAAAACTTTAAACAAACAAAAAACACATTTTCATTTAATGTTTCATTAGATACTGTAAGAGTTGTGATAAGCATTTTATTCATTCTGTATTTATTTGTTTAGTGATTTCTTATAAAAGTGTTAATTATTATTTATTTAATTGTGTTATAAAATGTCTCAAATTTAATAAGCTAAACAAACTAAAATTACTGATTATTTTCAATAATTGCTATTATTAAGAAACCCTCTCTATAAGAAACACTCTGGCTATGCATCTGCCCGTTTCTTATGGAGAAATTGCATTGTATATTATATTAATACCAAAAATTTCCTCACAGAAACCATAGCAACCGAGACTTTTGCTCACAACAAACAACATTTCATTATTAAATAATTAATCAATATTTTGAAGTAATAGTTAATTTATTTGATAGTCTTAAGTTGATTTAATATTTATTTATAATTAAATATTTGTATGCCAAAAATATAAGGTAATTATTTAATATTAAATGATAACAAAACCTTTAAAACGTTAAAACTTTTGAATACAATAATTTAAATTATTTACTGGATAATTAATAAAATATACCATCATTAAATAATTTAATTCATAAAAAATGTGTAAAAATATAAAACTTTAAGAATAATATGTAATATCTAATTGTATAGTATTAATTATATTGTATAAAACCTATTTAAATACTGTTATAAATTATAACACATTTGAATAATGCTGTGTACACGATCGTGTACAAACCGGTCACTTATGATAAGTTATAATTCATAATTTAAAAAATTAATAAATGAAATGATAAAACAATTTTAATAAAAAGTGTAATATAATTGTCTCGTAAACTAAACATTAATTCAGTTGAATTTATAAGAGATTATAACTTATAGTTTATAAGCATTTTGCCTGTAATGACACTTATGGTCATTCTTTGCAGAGATTGCAATGTATTTCAATTTAACATTTCTCGACAATAACTCTTTGAGATCATAGTCTGAGAGATCAATGTCTTGACGACAGCGAATGCGAAGTGTTTGAAGCGATGGTAATCTTAAGATGTGATCAACTGTTTCACGCGTTATGTCATTCACTTCTATATCTAGATATTGAAGTCGCGGCCAATTTTGGTGACAATTATCCAAAAATTTGTCGCTCTCTTCACAAATCTTAACCGTTAAATGTGTTAATCGGTGGCAGAATTTCAACGGTTCCAACAGTTCCTGATTTATAGAAAGGGTTAAATTGAATCGTTTTAATCGGTGATAATATCTCAATGAATCCATTGTCTGGCCATTGAATTGTGGGTCGGGCTCATCATCATTCGATAGTTTGAGTAAATTTAATGTCAATGATTGCATGTGTTTACAGTTTAAGCCAATTATACGCAAAAACTCCTTCAATAAATTTGCGTCATTTATTAGACGCGAATGAAGTGTTAATTCCCGTAATTGTGTTAATCGTGACAATTGTCCGCACATTTCAGGGAAACTCTCGTGAATGTCTTGATATAGAGATACGACAACACTTTTGAGGGACTGATTGTGTGCCACAAATGTAGACAACAGTTCGTAATCATCAAACATTTTTTGAAATTCAAAATATCGTAAATTCTGAACCAAGAGTTGTCCGGAAGTGTCAAAGACTTCATGCAATCTTACAACAGTTAAATGAGACAATCGGTGGCAATGAATGAACGATTGATTTTTGTAGGGTTTATATCTTTGTGGGATTTTTGAGATTCTTGTGATCATTGGTCCGAATGTGGGAAATATTCTACAGGTTGTTGCCGATATATTGCAGTAAATTTCCCGCAAATGTTGACAATTCTTTCGCAATATGTTCAACAATAAGGGGATTTGTTTTTCATATTTCGGTCGTAATCCACGAAAGTCGACAGTTTGAATGTTTGGACACTTTTTGACAATTTTAGTCAACATTTCAACATTAGATGACATATTATATACTATTATGGCCTCCAAGTGATCAATATATCGCTCACCAAATACGATGTTTACAACATTTTTAAAGACTGTCCTCTGGAACTGTTTGGACACACATTCCCAACGGAATTGATCTTCAAATGGAAAGTAAGACAATAGAAGTTCACACAAATCATCACCGAATCTGTCCATTGAGTCCTTCCCATAGAGTTGTACCTAAAATGTGAGACAAAAACAATTAAAACTCATTAATCAATGAATTGTACGTTAAATACCTGTNCTGTCCATTGAGTCCTTCCCATAGAGTTGTACCTAAAATGTGAGACAAAAACAATTAAAACTCATTAATCAATGAATTGTACGTTAAATACCTGTTGTCTGTCTTCACAGCCATCTGTGGTCTCGAGTGATGCCATCATTTGTGTCAACTTTTGGGCCATATCTTGGGATCAAATGAAGTGACTATAAATTATTTTAATTTATTTTTAACGTATTTATATCATAACAAAATACAACGTAAGGCTATTATTATTGCGCTTAAAAAATTATTTAAAAATTATATCATAACTACATTTCAAACATTTTATACCGTTTTAATCCACTCGTATTTATTAAAAGTATATTATGATATAATATTGATTACTATTTCTTACAATACTATACGAAATATCATTTATAAAACTAATACTTAGGCTTATATTGTATAATAACAGCTAACATGTTATGTAAGCATTGTATGAGAAAATATGAAATTCTTTTGAACAAAGGGTCGTAAAAAGGGTTTAAAAATATTTTTCAGCGCAGAATCGGTTATCAAAGAGGAGAGAGAGAGAGAGAGAGAGAGAGAGA